CCATTAAAACTAAAACGCAAAACAAAAAAAAAAAAAAATTAGAAAAAATTAATAATGTATTTAATTATTATTTATATTATTTTCAATAAACATTAAATATACAGGTAGTAGGTACCTATAGCTAACCTTATACACCCAATAGTTCCAATGTTTATCAAATTAGTTAATAAATAAATTATGTTGTCGACGTATCGATAAATAATTTATTTTACAATAATTATATTTTTGTAATTGATTGAAAACTTGGTATGCTACAATTATATTATATTATTACTATTACCTATATATTATAGAGGTATAATGTATAATAAATATAATGTTAGTATACCTATCGAGTTTTTAATCAATTACAAGAATAGAATTTGATAAAAAATAAATTAAAAATTATATATATTATATATGTCTAGTATGTCTATATGTCATACATTTAGTATGTAAGATATATCCTGTTAAACATATTTATAAAGACCATCAGGTTGTTTAAATAATAAAGCCCCAGTGTATTTAAAAAAAAAAAAAAAATATATTATATATGTTAATCCACCGTGCTTGATGAATTTTTCTAGAGCTGTTAGTATTCAATTTTAAATAAAAATTGTCAACCTGCTTTTCTTTGAGAGAGTTATATATTTAGAGAAAATTAAAATTTTAATTTTCAAAATCTTCAAATCACTAAAAAACTTTATACTCATATAATTTTAAAAATAGCCTATTTTGCAAAAGATATTATTTTAAAAATTTGATTTTGCCATACATTCATATCTAATCAAGTTTTTTTTTGGCAGCAACCGTTTTAATTTATCATATTTCCAATTTTTAACATAATTTAACAGGTCATTCCCTAACGCATTCACATCTTTTCTCTAAGAATTAATAATGTTACTAAATATCTATTGATCAGATTTAAATGTATGGTACATTAACATTTGTAGAATAATATATAAATAATTGTTATTTTTAAAATGTTGTAAAGTGAATGAATAAAGTTATTTTTTTTAGTAATTAGAGAATGGAGTTGAAAATGTAATTTTTCTCTAAATGGATGTCCTCTTTGAAAGATTTCAGATTAAAAAAATGTTTAAAAACTTAATATTCCCTAACAGCTCTGGAAAAATCGATCAAACACAGTGGGAGACTCTGTATGTACTATGTATGTATAATATATATGCAATATGCAAAATGTAATAATTTAGTTAAAAAAGCTTTTAACCTACGTAATTATTATTATTTTTTGTTATAAGTACCGATAAATCTAACGGATCTGTTTATTTACTAGATATATTATAGTGTAATAGGTTAAAGTGCTTGAAATGTATGAAAAATATATATAAATATATTATTATAATATGGTAAACATAGAGAATTTTTAATTTTTTAAGATATAATTGATTTTGTCGTTGAATTAGAAAATTCGAAAATAAAACTCGATTTTCGTATTGTTTAAATATTTGGCGACTTTTATCGTGTTACTCGACTTCAAGTGAACGTGCAGTGAGTGCATTGTATAATATTGTGCCGTAAATTTGTGAACTGAAACGGAAACTTTATCAAAGAGATACAAATTTTGTATTGACTCGTGCTTTATAACTGCGGATATACTCGTTGAAAACGTTCACACTTGTTCGATTATTATAACTAGGATTGAAATGTATAAGCCCTAAAAAAAAAGTAAGAAAATGGGGACGGGTGCAGCCACTGGTGTAGGTGGAAAGTTGGTAAGGTATAGGATACAAACGGGAATTTAATGTATATCTGTAAGCAACGATAAGCCATTTATAACGAAAAAACTATTCTGAGCGGAGTTCAATTGATAGAAATGCTTTGTCAACAATATATATATATATATATATATATTTATATATGCTATAGTAAAATAATCATATAGGCTGTTTAATGTTGTACGGATTTCCTCGGTTTTCCCATGTTTTTTTCCCAGTTTTTCACATTTGTTGAGAAATCTCAGGAGAAAATCGAAAAATGACTTCTCTAAGATTCCTGCCTACACCAATTTTCTTCTAGAAAAGTTGCTGTATGTAAAAATCGGAGTAGAAAAGTTGTCCACAGAAAAAAGAATAAAAAATAAACATCTTTGTAAAACCATTAATTCTTCGCTCCGTTTCCCTAACCTAATTTAACCTCATAATCTAAAAATGAATTAATTAATATTATTAATATTTTTATTATATAATTAATATTAAAATTAATATATATTATGTGTATGATGTATAATCATCATGTAAAAAGTGGAAATTACACGGCACAGATTCAGTTTTTTCTAATGTGTTGTAACATTTTGGTAACTACTAACTATAAATACGGAAAGTATATATATTATAGAATGCTCAAGCGCAAAACAGTTTTTACAATTGAATTACGAGAAGCATCACGTCCGCTTAATTGAATCTGAATCTTAACTTAATTATCAGTATCTTATGTAATATATATAAATACCTATGTTAAATATTTAAATTATTTTTTACATTCGGAGCGTTCTATTAGTTTTACTATGATGTGTGGGGGTTTTTTTTTTATACTTTTTGAAAAGTTGTTTACATACAGGAGACGAAATCACATATCATACCTCGCTAAGCTCCGAATCTAAAACAGTATTAAAATTTATAACAGTACACACGGATTCACATAATGTGACACTGGTTATAAATTTTAGGAGTTTCGGGTTTTTTAGCACACTTTATATAGTTAAATCGTATAATGTAAAAGCGTGTGTATTATACATATGACAGATATCAAATGAAGAAAATCCGAGACATTATCCGAAAACTAAGATAGTTAATAAAATCTTACTTCAGTAAACTGAGATAACATGTAGCGTGTCAAACATTCGAATAAATGATGTATTATTAAAATATTATGACGTACACCAGTTTTCTATATAATAATTTGTTTATATTTTGTTTTCCCTATTGAAATCAATTGGATTTTTTTTTAATTATGTTTTAAATGAATAACACCCGTCTTACTTGATACTTTTTTTTTCATGCATAATTATATAATATTTGACTAAAGTATTATAATAATTATATAATTGATTAGATAGGGAAATAAGTTATAAGTATGACGAGAAAAATATCACGTTACATATAATTTATAAATGCTATTTTAAAAAGTTACAAATAAACTATAGATACTTTTATAATATATTAATACAGGTTTTTCGTGATTATATAATTCATGTGCATTTGTATTCCGAGCTCTGAATCCTCAACCGTTAAACATTCAGTTAACAATTCGAATCGTTAATATTATAATATGGTACCTACAGTTATCAATTATTATTATAATTTGATAAATCCCGCTTGACGTTTGTGTGCATGGTCTCCAATACAAATTCATTTAATTTAATAAATTATTATTATTATTTATTTTTTTAACGTACCTCCATAATATACGTATATATTTATATCTATCGTTGAGATATTTAAAACGATTGCAATATGATATATTTTGTAAAGAATCCATAGGCGTATTTCGCAAAGAGCCAGATATCAATTAAGTGCATTTGCACAATCCGGTTTTTCAAATATCGAATTGGAACAACGAAGTGAAAATAAAACCAGGACTCAACGGACTGATAGAATAAACCATGAAATTTAAACCGATAGTACCTAAATTTGTGGATAGACTGGATCGAAAAAACCGCTATCTGTAATGCACTTATCGAATCTCATTTAATATTGTCTATTGACATTACGTATGAACACCACAAAAAAGACGATTCACACTAAACTGATGGTGCGACTTTTGCAAACCGACGCACACTGACCCGAACTGGACTAAAATTCGGAGAGTATTCCACTATGCTTACGTTTTATTCCATTTCGCACTGTAGAAACAGACTGTTATCATATAATAATTATTGATAAAACGGCATAAGATAGTTAACTATACAAATATTACTAGTAATAGTAGAGTATCATTTTTTCTCGAGACGAATGTTAACTTAAGCGTTTATATCTTTGGTTCAAGTTTGGATTAATGTACAGGTGAGGTAAACACGTGCCTAGGACTAGACAATAGCAGCGGCTATTTTATATCTTGTAATACACAATAGTATCCCAAAATTAAGCGTATTAAAATGGATGATAAATAATATAATAATTTTGAATCATATTGTATAATATTTAAATCACTTATAAATTATAAGGTATATTTACTGTTTAAGTATTTGGTATGCTAAATCATTTAGATGATCTTATAATGAGCTATTCAAAATATATGTTTAGAACTATGCTTGGGCTTAATTTGGCTTTGTTCCCTGGATAACGATCTTAAGTCGATTTTGTCGATAGTTTTCAATACAAGCAAATTAAATTTTAAAAATTGTTAAATGATATAAAGGGATAGTTGCTAAATAGTTAAGGTCATGTACACTTTGTATGAATTATACCTTTTTCCAAATAAAAAGTACATCATAGTAATAACTTAAGTTTATGTCTTAATTTTCAGTATATCACAAGTGTTATAAGATGTTAGAATTTATGTCATTTAGACCAACAAATTAAGAGACCAAAATTACATAAGACAAAATTATAAAAAGAAATTAGATTAGATAGAAATTAGATAGACAACAACGATAACGAAAATTAAATAAAAATAAATAGTCCGTATTCGAGCGAATTTTTTAAGCTCGTGTTCCTCATTCTACGATCACGTACCGAAGATCACAAAGACGATTTCTGTCATTCAGTTTATGTGGCATGCACATTGCGCGTATCAGTTTAACACATAGGTATTATTATTATTGTCATTATAATTTATTATCGTAACAATCGACGTTCTATTTTGGTCGATGAACGTCACGTCGCGTTCATACCGCTATCGATGTCGTCAATCATTAGTGCCGTTACGAAAAAAACAATAGGTAGACATATTTGATTGAATGTATTTGTGCATAGATGTACGGCTACCGTCTGAACGTTGTGGGGTTCAGTGTGAACGCCACTCGATAAAAACATTAAGTTACATTATTTTATGCTGCGATAACGCCATAAGGTCAATAATAATTCGTCCATCGTCCGTACAGCCGTTTATTGATAATCTATAAAATATATCAAATCGAGCAAAGCCATTTTATCGTTATGAAATTAGTATTTCATCTATAAGTGCTAACACCATCACGTCTCGCCGTGATGCACGAAAAACAAATCATAATATCATATCGTGTTAATATTATTAATTATTATTGTTAATCAATCAAAGACATTAAAATCTACCAACCAACGTGTGACTTTTTTTAAAATTTACAAAATTAAAAAGTACTTAAAAAATGTCTTTTTTACCTATCGGTATTTCCAAGCAACTTTTTTCGTGTTTTATAGGTAATATACACCTATTCGCCTACCTACCTTATAAATTATAATTCATTTTTATTAATACCATCGATCGTTTATTATTATAGACTACATTTTCAGCTAATTTCTCATAATACCATTATAATATTCGTGATTACAGTGTCCATGCCATTGTTGATGGCCGGCACGACGTTGGGATGGTCGTCGCCAATGATGGAATACGTGGCAAATGGACAGTCACCAATTCCCCTAACCGCGGCCGAAGAATCTTGGATGGTCACTTTCATAGACATCGGAAACGTCTTATTGTCGATACCGTCAGGCATACTGATGGATCGAATCGGTAGGAAAATGTGTGTTTTCCTGACAGTTCCGTTGACGCTAGCCGGTTGGATACTGATATTGACCGCTCGACAGGTATAATAATAATTATTACAACGTTTTAGCAAAAAAAAAAAAGTATAAGTAGGAAATCTACTAAATATTTTTTTCTTCACTAATGTTTCTGCGCGTTTCCCGGCTATACCTACCTATATTCATAAACACACCATGTGTGTAACAATTTAATTTATTAAAATAAGCAGTGTGAAGATAATATATTAGTAATTATTGAGATTCAAATGTTTCAATGCAAGTACGACGTAGGTATATAAAGTGTTGTGGCTAAGAGGCTATGAACTCTAGGTTACGTCTTCGTCTATCATGCAATACAATAATATGAACTTATAAACGAAATTGTAATTTATATATGCTTTTGGGAAGTTTGTAGAACACATAATCATATGACAATAATAATATTCTTATTATTGATGTAATTTTACAAATTAATTATTTTATTAGTTACAACTTATTGGCACAAATGCAACTAATCTTAAATTTTAGAGGGAGGACTAAAATTATATAATAATATTAATCACTTTATTTACAATATTTTTAATAGTAATAATATTAAATTTTGTTTAACAAACTATTATAAATATAAAATAATAAATAATAAATAACTTGGTATATCTACATTTTTACTTTTTAACTAATTTCTCTAATCTTTTTCAATATTTATTAGTGAAAAAATGAATTAAGAAGTATAACTGTCTAACTGCATCATAATAAGTGTTAATCAAGTTATTTGAGGATTAAACAAACATTTGATTTTGCTAAGTACACGCTAACTTCCGCCTAATTTCGCCTATATTTATAAGTTATTAGTTTATAACCTCTGTTCATAGAGGCGTATTTTCAGCGGGGTTCCCGGGTCTCAACCCGCCCCCCCCCAGAAATAAATGACATGCTATGAAGGAACTAAGAAAGAGAAAATTAATTAAATATACTATATTTTATATCGTGTGTTTATGTATTACTTATATTGTAACTTGTAATAATAGATCGATAACATTTAAGAGAGTTTTTACGTACTATCGTTATTATAGTTCTTTTAATATTATAATATCAATAAAATGTTTCAATAACATCTGAAGGGATCATAGATTAACTGGCAAAAAAGAAAATACGGTAATCTGTTTTATTATAAATCAAATTGCATAATACATTAACACATAATCCTTAATCGCATGCAAGGCGTTAAGTGCTATATGCTTTATTAGGCGACATCCTCGAACTTCGACTTCCATGCGTGCCTTTCTTTATTAGTCAGAGATCAAGTACTAGCCTTGATCAAATCCCTACTTGAATATGGGACTATCGTTTAGACCCCTTATACCAAAAGTGACTTGATAAAGTCCAGAACCGCTTTCTTGGTTTTGCCGGGTATCGTCTAAATATCGACCAGACACCGCATAATTACGATCTAGTTAGCGTAATACTTGGACTTGAACCATTATGTGAACATCACATCAAATTCCGTGTCAATTTTACTAGAGGAATATTATAAGGTCACATTGACGCACCTCGCGATTATGCATTCGTGTTCCAAGTAACACCAGGTTTCAGGAGTGCTTTTACTTGCCAGTGATATCATTAGCCAGCAATAATTAACCATTCGTACCTAGTCCATCCTATATATTATTGTAAAATAATTATTTATTTGTGTGTGTAAAAAATTAAAAGCCCGACTGACATTAATTTATAATAAATAAATACATTTGTATATAGTATAAATAAATTATAATAGAAATGGAACATAAATATTCTTTTAATAATTTGAATAATATAATTATTAACTCACAACTCATAAATATTTATTATAGCATTACAAAATTATTTATTTTATAATTCAAATACAAACTACAAATTTAGACTCTTCTTCTCAAAAAAAAAAAAAAAAAAAAAAAAAAAAAATGTCTATACTATCCATTATAAATACAAATAAATCTATTGAACTATATAATATTATAACCTAAAAATTATTTTATAGGTGTGGTGCTTGTACGTGGCCCGTTTACTACATGGCGGCGCTATGGCGATTTCGTTGATCGTATCTCCCTCGTACGTGGGCGAGATGGCTAGCATATCGATCCGGGGATCCATGTCACTTGTGATCGAGTTCACCTACGCTTTCGGTCTGTTGCTATCCTATATAGTCGGATGGGTCGCAGACTATTATACTTTGGCCACTATGGGTGCGGCGATTCCAATCATCACCGGCGTATTGATGATCTGGTTACCAGAATCTCCTTACTATCTGATGATGGTTGGTGAACCAATAGGAGCGGCCAAGTCACTGCGGAGACTGAGGAGTTATGACGATTTGGCGTTCGAAAATGAACTCCAAATCATTAGACACTCCGTTATGGAAGAAAAGTGAATAATACCTATATTATTGGGATGGGTAAAATACTTCAAAATAAGTGTCTAGATACTCGATACATTGATTTTTCAATATCACAATGCTAGATACTTGATACTCTCCAAAACTGAATCGTAATACGAGATATAATTGTTTCCAAAATACCTATTTAAGATACTGGTATCGAAAATTCCTATTTAAGATCCATCCTATTTATTTATACACACATTTAACATTTACCTAATTTAACTTTTCCCGACCACCTTATCTGTCAGTGGATGCTGGTTCGTATTATAACTATGTACTGATTTTTAAAGATGCGGTGGACAGCTACGGGACCTTCTAAACAGAGACCGAATCCCGTTGGTTATCGTATTGACGTTAGCCGTGATACAAATGGCCTGCGGTGCCAGTGTAATGGAGGCGTACGCTTCATCTGTGCTCACTGATACTGGGCTATCACCGAACGCTAGCACCGTGGTGTTCGGGCTATTTATAATTGTAGCATGCGTGCCGGTCGCCCTTACAGTGGATAGGTATGGCCGGCGGCCGCTGTTCATCGTATCGTGCGTGGGCACCTTTGTCTGTCATGTGATCTTAACCGTCCTGTTGTCGATGGACAAGTTGGCCGGCGTCGGGTGTCTGGTGCTGGCTGGCGTCTGTGGCGCCGAGTTTTTCATCAACCTCGGGCTTATACCGCTCGTATCCATCGTCCAATGCGAATACTTCCCGTCCGACACCCGTGGATTGGCCAACTCTGTAGTCGTGTTTACTATCACGCTAACGTCCACTCTGATGTTGAAGATCTACCAGCCCGTCACGGAAGCGTACGGCAAACAAGCCAACTTTATCGGGTATGCCGTGGTAACGTTTTTCGGCGCGCTGTTCTGTTACTTCTGGGTGCCCGAAACGAAAGGCATGTCATTTCTGCAGATCCAAAATGACTTCGAGAAGTATACGTGGCGTGACCAAAAATTGGACACAAATAACCAGATCGATTATGACCGGATCTGATCGGAATGCCGCAGTCGCTCGCGAGTACACGTTTTCCGCCACCGCCGCCTAACTGCCATTTTAGACCGAGGTAAAAATAAAATATATTATTTCGTACACGAGTATTTAAAAGAACTTTTTTTTTAAAATTTTGTTTTATTTTTTTGCCTTTAACAGGCAAAACGCGAACGACATCTTACTTTGATATTTTATAATATGATCGAATGTTTACACATAATATTGTTTTTGTACGTTTTTATATTGGAAAATACGGTTTGGAAAGGTCCTGCGATTACCAATTACCTATAACGTGTTTTATGTATTTACTCGTACAGAAATAGTATAAATTGCATTATTAACAATGTCACTTAAGTGTGGCCGTGTACGGAGATTGCGGACATATTATTAGGTAGGTACTTCACCATATGTAAAAAATGATAACCGTTATAATTATGCATAAGTGATATTACCTGAAATACCTTCAGTTCTATTAAATATTTTAAAGTTTTTTTCTTTAAATAATTTCTTGGAATTTCTATATTTTCTATATTTTTTAACTAAAAATACAAAATTTGAATTGTTTAAAAATTTATTTTTACAACATCCAAGATAGTTATTTTATAAATATATTTTAAAATGAAACTTTGGTATAAAAAATATTTTCTATAATGTTGAATTCTTAAATTTCAATTTTTTTTTGAAATTTACGAAAATCATTAATTAATTATTTTTCATGAAATATATGGTAAACCGATGGAGCTTGTATAGCAGTGGCAATGAAAACAATTTAAACAACCGTTGACTCCAAAAAATCGTAGACAATATATATTTATAAAATCGCTATCTTGAATTTTATAAAATCAATTTTTTTTTTATATTTATTTTAGTTAAAAAAAATTTGTGAAATGGAAGAACCATAGCACAAGGCTCTTTAATATTTTTATAAAAATAAAAACCTAAAAATATTGAACAGAACAAACAATTTTTCAAGTGTCTGATCTTCGTGTTAATATAATAATATAAGTATAAGAAATGTAAGTATTAAACTATTATTTCGAAAATGTCTGTTTTAATACAAATTTTCGAACCATTTGAATAATTTCCCGAAGAAATTCTCATTATTTTAAACAAAACCATTTTCATAAATTATATTATTTTTAACAGGTATGTGGTATACTATTGGCAATAAATTTATTTCGATAAAAATATGCCGTTTCCTTCAATTCGAAGTGCCTTAGTGGGACTACCTACATATAAATGTACTTTCTTTTGTAATATACACTTTTTGACGACACAATTTTAAGAACACAAATTGTCTATATTCGGATGCAAAATCGTATATTTAGTATAGTTTTCAGCAAGAACTATCGGAGTTATCATTGCGTGTTTTAGAATGTTTTGGGACAAGAACCAAATAAGTCTAATATCATAAACCGTACAATCAGTTATGCTCCTGGACAAATATTTTGGTTTGTTAGTTCAACAAATCCAGATTGTTACTCAGGTAGGTTTTCGATTTTTTGAAAATCAAACTTCTGAATTCTTACAGCGTTATTTTCCTATATATTGTATAGAATAAATTAAAAAAAATAATATCAGTTAATATTGTAATAATATTATTGATTGTGTCCGTAAACACATAATAATATATCATCAATTAATTATCCCGATAAATAAATCATTACAAATAATAGACATTCTTTTTTTTATGTAACTTACACAAACGTTTTTACATTAATACGCGTATAAAAAAATTGCTTTACTCTTATTTATTTTGTACAATTAATATTGTTACAATGATCTCAGTAAAATAACAATAATTATTTATATGGTTATACTGTTTAAACATTTGGAAAGAATAAACACAATATTTATGTTCTCAATAAAAATATAGAATGTAATATTTTGTTATGAAATTATTAACTCTGGATCGTTCGCATTATTTTATCGGAGACATCAAACAGTAAAAAATGATTTGAGAAAAATTTTTTTGTTTTTTTAAATGCAATTAGCCCCGGAGGATATACCTAATATATAGATATATATTTATTTTTTCTTATCATAACCTAATAAAAAGTGAAGTTGATTATAATGATATTATTACTGTACACAGTAGCGATTATGACGCTAACACACATATTATATTGAGATTAGGTATATATATACATAACGTTGTAAATAATGTAATAATATTATTATTAGTTTAAAGGCATTAATTATTTATATATATATATTTTTTTTTATATTCGTTACATAAGCCGTAAAAAAAATTATTTACATTATAATATATTATACTTTGTAAATTTTGAATCGTGATAATTTACTTTACTTTTGAATAGCTTATAGTTTTTTATTGTATTATAATATTATTGTCAGTAGCATGGCTAAGAGTCCTATGTTTCAACTGAAATTGGTAGGTGGATTGTGTGGTAGTCGGAGGCGTACAGTAAGACTATAGTAAAATCATAGGGTGAGGCATTTTATGTCGATATTATTAATTACAATTTAGTTCCAATTTGTTCACAAGAGGGATGCATAGTGGGCCCGATATTAATGACAATGGACAAAAACTTAAAGAAAAAACACATGGATTTATAACAGATTATGTTGCTGTTGTATTTGAGGAGTTTACCGCCTTTAAATCATATGTTTACATAGTTGTTTAAATTTATTTATTTATTTTCCATTTTCCATTTGTACAATGCATATCGAGTTATAATTTAATTTAATTTTATGCTATTTTTTTCAACCTTTATGGTGTTTAGTAAAAAATCATATAAAAACTAGTTTTATGATTCATTTTTTTTCTTTTTCTAAAATTGTAGACAAGTCCACATCATATTATCTATAGTATTATCAGAAATAAGATCTATTTATTAAATACTTAACTTTTAATTGCACATATTAGCACGATTTTGTTTAACTAGAGAAATTGTTTGCAATTTTCAGTTCATTTTTCTTTGTATCTCATTACATGCATTTATGTTTTAATTCAAATTTGTGATGAACAAAAATTAAATTATTTTAAGTATACAATTTTTAATTTCTTTACATTATACTTAATGCTATAGTCAACCAAAAATATATAAGTCAATATATTAGAATTATATTTTTCGAGTTAAAAATAGCACCCTCTTACCTCTCAAAAGGGTTTAAAATTTTAGATATTAAAATCATTATCAAATTGTATTCAGTGACATCAAAAACGTATATTTTAACATATGGAACGATAACTTCGGGTAAACGAAGTTTGTGTAATATCTATTTTAGTATGTTTTTTGGGGATTCTGGCTTGTGCCGTAATAGTGGCGGTGGTAATAAATATAGAGAATTTCTGTTTTCATAAAAAAATTATTCTGTACACACTACTGTCCGATATTAAGATTATGATTATCTAGCATATAGACAAAGTCTTAGAATTATATTTGAACAAAATATAATTAAACTATTTATACATGTTGTATTTTTTTTAGCATTGTATTTTAAATGCCATTCTTATATGATTACTTAATATAGTTAAGTTATAATGATATTAATTGTATATAATCTCAAATTCTTGTTATAACATTAGGCCCCGTTCATTTGTTTAATTTTTTAAATGCTTGTAATTATAGTCATTGCATCATTAAAATTTAATTCAATATTACCTACATATCGATATTTGATAAATATGATTTATATAACTACATAAACTAATAATTTGATATACCTAAACGTTGTAACATAATTGTATCAATCGTTAGTCATTAAAAATTATATATTATGGTTTTATACCTGTAATATATTTTATTATTATCGGATAGAAAAAAAGTTCCAATAGTTTCTACACATTTTTTTCTTCACCTCAACCTCAGTCTCCACTCAATCACAACCTCACCATCGACTCCAAAATCAACCGGCTCAACTTCATCCTTAATCTTATTGTCAGAATTATCCTCGGGAGTTTCACTATATAAACTGATTTCTATTTATTTATTTTAATTTAATATATTTCTATATAAAGAAGTTTTTTAAAAATAATATTAATTATAATACATAAGTAATGTACAATGTTCACTGTAAAATTGTTCTGTAAAAGTTTTGCTATAATTGATTTTATCGCGCAGAAGGGAATAAATTTGTGATTGATGTCACATCCAGAGTCAAACCCAGTTGCCACTTTATATTATGTATGAAAAAAGGAATAATCTAATTATATTCTGAATTACACAAAATTTAATCTAAACTAAGGTTAGGTTAATCTTAATAAAGTAAACTTAATCTAAATTAAGAGGACGCTATACACACGTGTGCTATCTCAGTCCAACTAATGAGTAATATAGCAAAATCTTACACAGTCTGCGTAGAATCGTTTCATTTTGGTTTTAGAGTAATTGAACTTTCAATAAATTAAAAGAGAACAATATTCCGGAGGGCAAAACGATGAGTTTTTCCTATTATTCTAATTATTATTTTAGATATAACGTTCAATACATCGTTTAGAAATAAAAATTAATTTATATCGTTTTTAAATGATTGAAACATTTAAAAAAGAAATGCATTATCTTGTCTTTTGGAATATTGTTCTATGTTAATTGTATAATAGGTGCTTTTATTCTAAAACCAAAATTAAGGGAGTTCTACGCAAACTGTGTAAGGCAGATTTTGTTATACTGCCCGTTAGTTGGACTGAGACAGCACATGCGGGTATAGCGTCCTCTTAAAGAGGACGTGATACTCGCATGTGTTTTCTCCGTTTTAAAATAGTATGACATTCCAGTTTGTTTTCATCAGAGACAACTTTATGTTATTCATTTTAATATTAGAGTGAATTGACTTCTTATCAAACTTAAAGATAAAAACATTATCTGTAAAAATAACGCCAACGTTTCACATTTAATGTTCTTAACTTTAAGTTTGAGAAAAGATCAATTTACTATACTATTAAAACTAAAGTACTATGTCCCCGCTGAACAAACATTTTTTATTACAATGACATACGTTTGTAAGACGTATGTATCACACATGATATTTAAATTTATTAAATGTTAGGATTTAGTGTATTACTAAAAAATTTCAGAAAGGTTTTTTTAGGTTGCATAACAGTTTGTTTCATTTGCAAATAATTAAAAATTAGCATATTAAAAAATACACTAACATATACAAATATTATAATATTATCATAGAAATTATATAATTTTGTGATAAACCCATAGAGATTTGAGTCCCGGGTTTACGGATAAAACAATGTTTAAATGTTTAATGCACAGAGTTCAAACCTACAAATTAATGTATTGATTAGCACCAGTCAAGAGAAATACTAAATTTCATGAACTTTTAATGAAACATTAAAAAATGTAATGATTTATTAGAACTCTAATATTTAATAAAATATTTATTGAACGTTTTTGCACCTAACTATCCAACATTGCAATTATAATTATTGCACTTTTAATCAAGTAATCAGATTAATAATAAAATAATAATAACACATTTAAATTAGTTTTAGATTCCTAGTGAAACGCGTGGAAACCATATCGGTATATATTAATAATAGCTTAAACTTACTACACTCAAAAAGTTGTAAGCATAAACTTTATATACTCCTCAGTATAATTAAATACAGATTTTGGTATTGAAAAATAAATAATTTTTCAAATTTCCCGATTATGTACGTTGCAGGAAATAGTGATAAATCGAGTAAGGTAATTACTTAGTAATTTGTGTACCAGGCGTAAAGGTGAAAATTTATACTGCCAGACCAGATAGACCCACCGGTACTTGTGAATGGCCTGCAAAACGTATTAATTTGGAGTTTTATCGTTCTAATTGATTTTAAATGTGAAATATTTAAAAAAAAAGACTGAATTATTTTTTCATACAAATAAGCATAAATCAATATTTCTATAATAGGCTATAATATTTTCAATTATTGTATAGCCTGTAGCCTAAGGCTGGTTAGGTTAGGTTAGATTAGGATAACTTTACCTAACCTAATCTTTAGGCTGTAAGTAGGTACATTTGTTTATTATAATTGATTATGTATTATTTGCGTTATAAATATTACATACTTATTTACATAATACACAGATTGGATTTTATTTTTTTAAACTCGAATTTTATTGGAAAATTAACTTTTGTATTTTATTATAATGTATTTTTTATGAACTATACACTTTTTTTTCTTCTCTTAAATAATATATTATAAAAACAAGAAAAGTACGTTAGTGAGGTTAATAAGAACTACTGTGTCGACCAACGAATTACCTACCGATTAATGTTACCGGGAGTAAAACACGGAACGCAGACCAAAAAAAAAAAAAAATGACAACAGATTGACAAAATATGTGAAAAGTTTCCACGTATTTTTTTAATTTCAATATGGAAATACTCTAAATCCTTTAATCGAGTCGAATAGCCTGTCATGTTTATTTTTCAGATTCTAAGTGAAGCGAGTAATACATTTTTAATATTAATTTTCATTAACTTCTGCGTGTAATTAATTTTAAACTGAAAAACAGAGATATTAAATATTATATATAAATTAATATATGCTCTTTTAATATTTGTAAGTTTATATACCTGCCCTACCTAACCTAAACCTAACCTCTTTTTTTTCTTTTGTGTGGTTTCGATGACGGACCCGGAACTGCTGAGGCATTACTTTGGGTCTACCACCATCTTTAATTAATAAACATTTAACATACAATATACATTTCAACAAATATAAAAAAAATATACTAATATAATATACAATAACATAAAAAAATATACAACAATGCACATAGGCTTAAACTTGGTGCACAAATGCAGATAAATATAGGAAAGAAAAAGAAAAATATCCGCTGCCGAGCACCTCAGTCCCGTACAGATTGGCCTTTTCCCGGGCCGGAGTGTTCGCCCACCGCCCTCTGCTTCCCGTTCTCCTCCTCCCGTAATTATGCTGCCTCGTTAATTTGACGATGCCATGATCGTCGTCCTTCCTGTGGTGCCATATAGGTTTGCATACAAACTGTGTCTGTGTCATCTCCGACATTTTCGATAGTGTCGAAGACCGTCCGTATACATATCCAAAACCTAATCGAGCATGTTCATGTATCATAATATAATATTATTATGATTGATTTTCGAAAAAGGTCTTCACTTGAAAAAAAAACACGGGAATCGAGTGGTTATATAATATCACATATACTAATATTGTAGTACATACAGAAATAAATATTAGTAAAAAAATTCTCTAATAGTCATTCGAATATTAATAATACTATTTGTCACTGCAGACTGAACAATGCCCCTGGTGGAACGTACCGTGACTGTTAAAGGAATGGGCCTCGCACGCCAGTATTTTGTGGCAATAATAAATGTATAGATAGCTAACGTATTAGTGATAGCGCATGAACTAACAAAAAAGAAAAAAATAAGTATAACTGAAATAGACGAGGTTTACGTCAAACATTATTATTGTTTTAAAATCCATTGTATTTGTGTTTATTTATGGTGTTTTCTTATAAGTATGCGACACGTGCATGACACGCCGGAGAATTTGCAACTATTAAAAGTGTTAGGTAGGTATTTGTAAGGTTTTGACAGGCTTATTTTTTTTTTTTTAATTGTCTTAATGAAAAATACAATTTTTACTATAGTTAACCGCAAATAATGTTTTTTTTTAAAAAAAAATGGTCTTTTATTCGTAATGAGAAAATTTCTCTTTTTCGTGTTTTGCATTTAAATGTACAAAATGTATATTAAGGGTTTTTCAAATTATTTACAGTTTTGTGAAATTTTAAAATTATTTTTAACATAGTAGTTGAAATATAGCTGTTTTTACGAATAAATATAATTCCACGAAAATAGGGATAAATCATTGTCAATTTAATATATATTTTTTTTAGTCGATAAATAACAACATTTTTTTCTTTTTCCAACAAAAAAATAATAATCGAAATTGCACAATTCAACAAGGCACGAGAATTTTTCCAGTAACGCAAGTTTTTAAACCAAAAAAACGCGTGAACCTGAGCCCCTTTCACATGTGTATAATTTTGACTAGACATATGAAATTACAGATGAGTGTAAAATAAGAAAAAAAAAAAACAAAGAAAACGTGAAACGTGAAACTAAATCAACAGCTATAATACAACTCCTGTATTCATATTATAGATAATATACGATTGGACAAATTATAAAATTCCAAGAATTTCAATATAAAATACCTTGGTATATTTTATGTTACTATAAACGACTCATAGACGTATTCAGACTTTCGTGACTTTAATAACTTTTGTGGAGTATATAACATGATAATATAATCACTATTTAATAAATAGGAAACTCAAATAACAATAAAATGTTCTATTATTTGTGTGAAGCAATAAAACAAGATTAAAAAGAGACTTTAATACATTTGAAGAATAGCTTACAAATTCCTAAAGTGGCTAAAAATTATAAATTATATTATAGTTACTCCATTCTTGCTTCACCACGTTCTTAAATCGGCAATATACAGATATTCAAAACAAAAAAAATTGAAAACCTTCCATAGTCCAGTAAATAGATGTCCTCTACATAATTTTTTACTCAAACGATATTCGTCAAAATTCGATATTAAAATTCTTTTCTACCTAAAATTTTATCTACCACTATGTACAACTTATAATAACCCTCCTGTTAAATTTACAAGCATTTAAATTTAGTCTAACAATTTTATCCACATAGTATACTTACTGAATAAAAGTTACGTACAAAACTGGCAAAATTAAAATGTCTATAAATAGCTCAAAAAAAACTAAATCTTTCAAGTCTCTGTGAATATTTATACTGAACTACAATAAAAAACAAAATTAAGAATAATAAAATCATTATTTTCGTAAATTTTCCCGTTTTCCTTACGTTTTATCCCAGGTTTTTCCAGATATTATGAAAACCGCTAGGAAAATGAAAAAATGACCTTTAAGAACCAT